TCCAACGGACAGGGCTTTAGTGGATGATCCTGAATTTCGCCGTTATGTTGAGCTCTATGCGAAGGTAATTGGGATTGCTTGGTTAAAATAACATATACATGCTGAAAAATGATTTCATAAGTCCATTTCATAAGTCCATTTGTAGGCTTGTCGCATTGTTTATTGGTTCAATCTTTTGATTGGAACTCGTTGCATTAAGCAAGTTGATTAGTAGGTCCTTCTTCCCCATAAGCATCTTGCTTTGGAGTTTCCTATTGCCATCTGCGACTATCTTGACATTTCATAGATTTTCCCCATGTGCGAATTGAGTGACAAAACCAACAGCTTTCGTACTAAATGTGATAGATATGAGCACTTTCTACTCGGCCAATGGCCATGCATTGGTGTCGTTTTCTTTCTGTAACATACTATTGAGGCTGAAGATCTAATTTAAACTAAATTAACGTATTTATTAGAGCATTTATATGTTGACTAAGACTAGCCTACCCAAGACATTAATATCAAGTTTCTGTTTTGCTCCAAATCCATTGAAGAAAATCATTAGTGGTTATTTGCATCAAAATTCTGACTGTTGATCCAAATTAAGTTAACTGAATCTGTCTGCTGTTTCATGTTTTTTTCTTCGAACTCTCCCTCTGGCAGGACGAGGATGCATTTTTTCGAGATTATGCTGAATCACATAAGAAACTTTCAGAGCTTGGCTTTGTGCCAAGCTCAAAGGCGAATGCTCCTAAGGATGCGACCATTCTGGCACAAAGTGCTGTTGGAGTTGTAGTTGCTGCTGCAGCGGTCATCCTCAGTTACTTGTATGAACATTCCAGAAGAGGGAAGTAGACTTGATTTGCTAAGCTCTGTTGGATGTCACGTTTGTGTGGCCCATAATGAGTAGTATTGGGTTCATTTTTGCAATTTCATCCTATGTTTTCTTAGTACCAATAAGAAAAATGCTAAGCTCTACAAGCTATTGGGTATATGAATAGACTATAAATTCAACTGAATACTACATTTAAGAGCAGCATCAGTATTACTTTGTACATATAAATTTCAGTAGTCTCAGTTATGTGCTCCTTTTCTCTTGAAGATCAGAAAAGGCGTGTAGTTAAGTGTAGTTAAATCGTTGTTAGTTTATGTTATTTTCAAGAAATTCAGAATTTGAAAACATGGATTATACACTAGAAGAATTACTATACGCCTGAGGATCAATGATACTTATATATTCGACGTGCTTATAATTGCAACATAATGTACTAGCCGGGAGAAACTCTGACCCATGTTTAACATGGAAACCTTCAACATTGGATTTTTAATGATTTGTACACTATTTGTTCTATTTAAATAGGAAACAAATGAAAAGTGACAACAAAAGGAATAAAAGGAAGGCTCTACTAAATTACGATGTCAGACAGACATTGATGTAGAACGGAATCTGCAGGGTGGTGGTGGTGTCTGCCAATAATATTAAGCAAGAAAAAAATATTCTCATTTATACGAGCAAGGTTATTCTTGAATCCTGAATAATGCTTTTTAAAAAAATAAATTCTTATCCACCAAATATATAATATAAAACATAGCAGAAAAAGCATAACAAGTTCAGGAGAACACATGTGGAAGACAGCCCAAGAGGTAGGTAAAGCAAGTTAGGACTTAGGACAACCCTTTACCTTCCCAGGAATACCTAAGCACATGACAAACTCGTGTAGCTGTGCTGGCTGTCACCATACAAAAATAATCATGCAAATGCAAACCGTACGCCACAGTTTCTTTCTACCTTGTATTCTATTCTATTCTATTCTATACATGAGGCAAGTCCATTTTGTTCAATAATTTATTTTCCATGTGACTAATGTTGCATTGGGTAAGCAAGACTAATTGAGGAGTTAAGGCTTTAGGTTGCTCCTCCATTTTGGGTTAGCTAAGAAGGACATTATAGAGTGATCTCTTTGCAATAATTACACCCAACCGATAGCGACCAAGGGTGATGCTCACAAATTGAATTGATGTGAGTAGTTACGCGTTTCATCCATACATTTATTATTGGCAACTTTAGTATCATACGCACATTGCATCTTTTCGGTACCTATCCAACAGAGTTAGGTAGTGCTGTTGCCTCACCGAATAAAATAAACATTTCAATTTAATATTGCAATTATAGGCTCATCATCTTAGTTGAGTTGTTCATTCTCATTAAACTCATTACAGATACAACAAATTTCCTTTTGCATATTAGCAACACCAAAACAGGTCTGTAAATTGAATGCTTTATTGTTATATACACATAAAAAAATATTAGTTACTGGGGTGTGGTGTACTAGAAATCTTGTCAATATTCAACATATAGCAGAGGGGGAATTTGGACTTTGAATTATAAGTGTAGTCAGAAAAGGGTGAAAAGTGGTGATATACTTCCAAAATTTTATCATGTGGTGGTGGACTGAATCTTTTCCAACTCTCCTGCTCCTTGAAAACTACTTGTACCTATTTATATTATTTTTTCAAATTATATCACAGCATATAAATAAGAGAGATAACATTTCAACTATCTCGACATTCTTCGATCAATATCTATAATTTGTGTATCTCTATAAATATTTTAAAAAATATGAGAATGAATATATTTTTATACATTTACAAAATCGACGTATTAGTGATTATTAGATTAAAATCAGATGATCTAAATTTGAAATTTAGTATTTTTTCTGTTAAGTAATAAAACAAAATCTCTATTATAAATTCACAAATTATATTAATTCTTACCATCCACTCGACTATTATAAATATGAAAATGGAGAAGAAAATTAGAACGAAAAGGTAAATAAGGCCCCCCCAATCCCAACCTTTTTTTCTTGGTATACTTTTCCAAAACTTGCATCATAAGGTTCAAGGAAAAAAAGAAAAAAAATGAAAAGTGGAAGGTGAACCAAAGGCCATGTACAACCACAACTCCAACCACACTCATTTTTGGCATTTCCTATTCTCCCCTTCTCTTATTTCACCATCCTCAAACACTTCTAGAAACCTATCTATTTGATCTACCCTCTCTCTCTCTCTCTCATGAATGATAATACACCAATAGAATAAAGAACCACAACTACCATTACCATCTCTATATTTCCTCACATCAATACCCAACTACTAAAACATTTCTTTCAGAAAATTTCCTTTTGCAACTAACTTACCCAAATCTCTCATGTTTTGGATTGGTTAATTATCCATTTTTTTTTGGGTGTGATTTTCATGTGACTAATAAAAATAATTAACATTTTTTTTATAAAATAAATAAAGTGATAGAAAGATGAGAATAAGAATCAATCAAATTCATTAGTGAAATTAAGGTAGTTAGATCTCAATCCAACTTTAATTTGATTTCACAGATCTGATGTATGTTCTGTACAAGAAATAATAATGATTTTTAATTAATCCCAATTGATTAAATACAAAGGTGCCTTACTCATCACATAACACCATCTTAACATTTAAATAATCCAAATTTATTTTCCTTACAAAAAAATTAACTCTCATATCAAAATTAGAAAGAAAAAAAAAAATAATTTCACAAAATACTCATATATTACGCATAAATTAGGCTTTCATATAACATATTTTTATAAGATTTGAACTAAAATATTATTAACTAATACTGAGATAATATTTTTTCGGGAGAGAACTATAATAAATGATAAAAAAAATTAAATACCGTTACAGTTTGGTTAGAACCGATTTTTTGTTAAGAATCTGATTCGATAATATCTCTATTGATTTGATTCAATTTTTAACATTTTAAAAAAGGGAACTGAACCAAATTAATTAATTAAAGTCATTTTAGTTTGATTCGGTTGATCGATTTATAATATTTTTTTCTAAATATTATATTTATCATATAATTTATATCATGTACTATATTTTTAAACAAATTACAAATTACTTTTAATTCATATAAGATAATAACATAATTTTTTATGTATTTTTATAAAATTTCAATCAAATATAAAATTTGATACTTAATGTCAGAAAATTGAGAAGATAGTTAAAATGTTAATAAATAGTACATAACAAAACTCGCATAAATCAACATAATTATTTTATATCAAACCTATAATGAATTTTGTTGAAAATTGTTAAAAAGAAAAAAAAAATGAAAATTAATGAAAATAACTTAGATAATAAGGACGTGCATCGTAATGAGAATAGGAAAAAAATAGTTGATGGGCAACGAAAGCATTAGTTCAGTAAAAATCAATAATTTGATTTATGAATTTTATTTTTTATATTTTAAAATTTATTTAAAGAAATATATTTTACTAAAAAGAAGAAAATGTAAATAAAAATAAAGAATAATTGAACCGATATAAAATTTAATTTTAATAAAAAATAGAATAAAAGATTTTGAATGTGATTATATTTATTCATTCGATTCATCTCAAAAATTAAAGCTGAAAATTAAACTAAACCACATGAATTTCATTGGTTCTATTTGGTAGTTTGATTTGGATGATTGATTTAATTAAATATTTATGATCCGTTGAATTTCTACAGCTACCTGTTCAATGTGAAGTTGAAACTAATCTCTGGTTAATTTAATACTTATTTTTAGAAGGTGAAAGGTTAAATAGACAAGTTAGAGAGATAGGAGATTAATATAAAGCGTATAAGCTATGAATTATGTTTCTCTTTTGTCTTAAAAGAGGCAAGTGATCACATCTTGTCTTAAGCTTGCCCATACTTTAATATATATATTCTACTTTACACCAACCTGAAGGTAACCCATAGTTAATATAATTGAAGGAAAGAAAAACTATATAAATATGATCTTATATATCATATCTATCTAGCCAACAACAGCCACTCTCTTTAACCTGTCTCACCAACTCACATCTAGAAGCTATTTTCTGTCTTCTTCTCTCTCTGTCCCCATTCTTTTCTTTTAGGTCAAACTCCCTATAAAATCACAACCTCAACTCCTTCTTACACTGGCTTACCTTTCTTCTGTTCTTTAACCAACCATGGGAAGATCACCTTGTTGTGAAAAAGCTCATACTAACAAAGGTGCTTGGACTAAAGAAGAGGATGATAGATTAATCTCTTATATTCGTGCTCATGGTGAAGGCTGCTGGAGATCTCTTCCTAAAGCTGCTGGCTTACTCCGCTGCGGCAAAAGCTGTCGCCTCCGCTGGATTAATTATCTCCGCCCGGACCTTAAGCGTGGCAACTTCACTGAAGAAGAAGACGAACTTATTATCAAACTTCATAGTCTTCTTGGTAACAAGTATGTTTCCTAAATCTTCTATTTTCAATATCAAGAAACATTCATTTCAAACACCCTTTTAACTAAATCCTTATTTTTTTTTTTTATAGATGGTCTTTGATAGCCGGAAGATTACCCGGTAGAACAGATAATGAAATAAAGAATTATTGGAATACTCATATCAGAAGAAAGCTTCTGAATAGAGGAATTGATCCCGCTACTCATAGACCTCTAAACGAAGTTTCTCAATCTCATTCTCAAGTTCTTCATCTTCAGAATCAGAATCAGAATCATAACCAGAATCAAGAAGGTGTAACTATAGCTGTAGCTGCTTCTGCCTCAACTACTACCACTTCTACAGTTATAGCCGCGGCCTCACCCGCACCCGCATCAATTATATCTTTTGCTCCGTCTATTAAACAAGAACAATATCATAACCATTATCACAGTTATAGTCATAATCATCAAGAGATGATGATTAAAGGGTCGGTGTTAGAACGGTGTCCTGATTTGAATCTTGAGTTAACAATAAGTCCTCCACGGCAACAAGAATCCGACGAACAATTCAAAAACAGAGACAGAAACAGCAACATCAACAACAGTAGCCTCTGTTTCGTTTGTAGTTTGGGTTTACAGAACAGTAAAGATTGCAGCTGTGAAGAAATTGTTGGAAATTCAAACGGTGGAAAAGCACCTGCTTATGATTTCTTGGGTTTGAAAGCTGGTGTTTGGGATTACAAAGGCTTAGAAATGAAATGAAGAATGAAGAAAAATAGCTTTAGTGTTGGAAAAAAACAGAGTATGAAATGAGAGAGAAAATGAAATTTCATTAATTTTGAAGGAAAAATATCTTTTTCTTATCTAATTTGTATAAATAATTAGTTGTTGATGCATAAGATATATAGTTATCAGTATAGCTGAACATTATTGGCTATTTTTTTTGCCGTCATCTAAATTCTATAACTCTCCTGTTTGAATTTGTGAATCTGGGAATAGGAATAGATTAATATTATTAATTAATCTTTTATATTATTATGAAATTGAATTTCAATGAGTTTTATATTTCATGTATGAGTTGACACAGTAATGACTAATGACAGCTCTTTTAATTATATTTAACTGCATAATCACATTCTATGTCATGGCTATTCTCATCTTAATTATTTATTTTGTTTAATTAATTAACGGATTAATTAATTTCCATAATCATGAGGTTATGCTATTTCTGTGAAGCTTCACATGCATCCATCAAACAATTGCCTAAGAATCCTCCAACTTCAAATTCTGTTGTTTATTTTGTTGTTGAATATTAGTATTATATAATGCATTCATGTGTTACAAAATATTGTAGACCAATGAGTCCTAGTGATGATCTTTATTAGTTTTCCTTTTTCTTCCTTATTGAAATCTAATTTTAGATTCTTATGAACTTTTAGAGACTTTTAGGGTTTGTCTTTTTTTGGAGAAAAAGAAAAACGAAAAGGGAGATGATAGGTATATTCATGTTTACATGAGTGGATAAGCTGTGAGAGGATGAGAAAATTTCTTCAAATACAATGGTGATATACCTAATTAAATAGTATTACAAAATATTATTATGATAAGACAATTTAATTAGTAGTTTATACAAAAATACGAATTTGAATATATGATATTTTATTTATTTATAAAATATATTTATATATTATTTATTATAGAAATTCTCACATTAACATATATCTGATCCAAAATAAATAAATAAAATCATAAATTTTATCAGAATAATGATCGAATTTATTACGTAAAAACTTCATGCTAAATATTAGGAACTTGACCCAAATAACCAAATAGCAAAAATATCATAGAAATAATCTAACCGATCTTAAATAAATTCTCATATCATATTAAAATTTGGATTTAAATTAATTCAATATTATAAAACTAGTCTATAAAATACATAACAATAATATTATCCTCTCCAATATGATATCTTAACCTAATATATTCTTGTAAATGAGTGAAAATATGTGGCATAGTCATGTGCACAAAAGAATGCTCCATTATTATTTATAATTCTCTATCTTCCTTTCTCTCAATAATAGCAAACTCAATACATATCAAGAAGTTAAAAGACAATAATATAACATTATCTAAAACGTGAAATGACGAAGCATTGTCCTTCTTTCCTTAGAGTACCACATGCATCATTCTACCAACCTTCTAACAATTATTTAATTCGTTAGGCCTTCTTCCAACCGACTTCTTAACTTTGGCATGTTACATGTGAACCTACCTAGGTTTTGCCTTTCTTTATTTTACCTTACACATATCCATTATACACTATGCTCTTCTCAATTTGGTCCTACATAACATGTTTCTACACACCTTATGCTATTTACAACAAAGTTAAAGACATCAATTACATAAGTAAAACCTAGAAGGAAAAATACTCACATAGTTATTTCATATATGCCTTTATTTTAGAATTTAACCTCATTTTTAAATTAAAAACCTAGAAGATATATTGGATCCAACGAAAGTCCAGCACTATTTAATTATACTAGGTACTTTGGTTTCATCATATGTTACATATAATCAAACATAGCGACATTCAAGGTGTATATACTACTATTATTAAGCATGTATATAACATTGTAACAAAATATATGTTGATGGTTTTGTATTTAAAGAATGTTTTGCAATAGTTTTAGGTAAAGTAAATGTAGCTGAGGAAATGTCTCTTTTGTTGCAATTGGTAGCTTTGGTGCAAGCATTGTTTCTAGGTACATTATTGCGTGTTTGACAATATATAAGAAACTTTTTATTAGTAATATAGCATAAATCACATTTAAAGTTGGGAGCAACTAAAATAAAATGATCCTACCTACCATTCAAATTTTATCTGCCGCATTAACTCAGCGTCATATCATGGGGTCAGATAACAGTTCTATTGGATTGGTTTGCTCTGGGTGGCTTGGAATAATAAGGAGGATGTTTTTTTCCATCGACCTAAAAATAACCATCAATGTTTTACTTGAATGTATATTAGGAAATTAAGATCAATTAAATCTATAAAAAAAACAAAGAAATTTGTTTCACCGATCGGGATAGAGGATGTGACTATATATTTAAGAAGGCCCTGACTACTGACCATTCTCCTAAGGTTCTTGCTAGAATCTAACGGTATGATGTTATTGACAATCCAAAAAATATTAGGTTTCACATAGTTTCAAATGTTGGTTATATTTAGGGTTGCTTTCGGTCTGGTCCGGGTATTTATTTTCCCGAAGATCGGATTGAAACCTTAATCGAGTAAATCGAGATCGGACTAAAATAATATTGATTATTTTTTTGGATCGAAATTAATCTGGTACGTTCGGATAAATTGAGACCGGATCAAATTTAAATTACTTACGTAATGATATTTGATACCGGTCCGATGATTTTCGATCGGGTAACTGACCATCTGAAATATAAGAAAAAAATTGAAATTTCAGATTTTATAATATGAAATTGATACTTAATTTCAAATTGTTTCCAAAGAAGACTAAATAATAATATTGTGCATAATTTTGATACTCAATTCACATTGTATTATCATTGGACATTATATAAATATTACAATACCATAACAACATTGTATCAAAAAATTGTTAAAACATAAGTTATGAAACTTATGTTTTAAAAAATGTACAAAATGTCATTATATTATATTAATGATGCCTCAAAACAATTTCATTATTGGCATTTCAAATACAAATCTTCAAGTTGCAGCTGTAGAATAAACGACACCCGAATCTTCACCAAAATGATATGCCAAAGGTTCATCTTGTGGTTCCTCAAGCTACAAATGGAAAATGCATTAGTGAGATAAAATAATAACCAATATACATATTAAATTTAAAAAATATGAAAAATTTACTTACAATTGAAGCAATACAGGCCTTCTTAATCCCATACTTCTCCTTCACCCAATTAGCTCCACAAAACACCATTTCTGAAAATATAAAACTCTTTTATGAAGCTGCCATTTTGAATCAATGAAATGACTAGTCACAGTCATATAACCTATAATCTGTTCACTAGACCACCACAAGTCAGTAGTAAGACTGGCCCTGTTAATCAAACCCATGGACCTTTTCATCTTAACTCTCTTAGCCTCATAAAATGTCTCACAATCAAACCTAACTTGTTGCCTAGTAATCTTTTTGTACCATGGATAAATCTCCCTAAGAAACTCATTAAAAATAACACCTTCCATAACACAAAAAGGAAATTCATGACCTAGAATCATATGTGCTGCAAATTCTCTAACCCTAGCATGATTATATGTCCAGGTTGTCAAACATGGAGTACTATCACCTATGTTTAACCTAGACTGTGCAACCTCTTTGTCATTATTATCTTTCAACCTCAACTTTCTCTGAATACAAGCAGCTAAATGTTTTTTACCATTATATGTACTTTTCTACTTCGTATCATATGTGTAAAGCTTACTACACCATATGCACTTCCACTTCTTAATGCCATCAAGTCCTTCAATAAGCACCATTTCAGTACGAACAACCGATTTTTTGGGATGAGGAGATTTACCAAAAGCACTCTGACTCTGAGAACTCTGGTCTTGGTCAATTGGAGGAGTTGACCCATCAATATGGGTAATATTTTCAGTGAGGGTATTTTGAGTGGTAGTATTATTAGTGAGGGTATTATTATTAATCAAACGTTAAAACACAAATCTCAAGTCAAAATTGTAACATGCAAAGATCTTAGGCCAACGTTAAAATATAAATGTTTGATTTAAAACACAAACCCTAGCTAAAACTAAAAAACATTTTAGGTCAAAAAAATTTGGACAACACTGAAACGTGGTATTGGTAATAAACAATTCATCAAATGTTTCAAATCAAACATGCATACTTGGTAAAGATAAAGAATACTATAAGAAAAATAACAAATAGAAAAATTTGAATACATTACAAGTTTATGGAAGCCTATGAAACATATATACTCAACAAGCACTCAACAACACTCACGAAGAAGAAGAAGAACACATACACTACACTTAAGTATTTAGGCTGAATGTCATCATCGGACAGAGAGAGTGAGGGGAAAATGAGGTCGTCAGAGGAAGCAATGAGAGAGACATGGGGAGTGTAATTGAAGGAGAGATAAGCATGAGAGATACAACACCTCACACAAATTTTATATTATGTGTTTCGGTTACTCATTGGATAATGGTCCGGATCTACATTCAGAAAAAGGATAAAAGTTTTATCCATGGCCGGTCCATGTCTATTATCGGTCGGTCAAATGGGACAGTTCTATCGGTCTGGATCTTGGTCCATATCTCAATTTCCGAGGTCCAATAATAGCCCTAGTTATATCTCTCTAAACTGATTTAGAACAATGATGGTTCTCTATGTTGGGTACAGTTTGATTTACAAGTGTATTTAAGACAAAAATTTACACTGAAGTTTACTTGGATGGACATTCTTAAATTTTAGATTGGTTTAATAGTCTGATAAGAACAAACCAATCAAACAAGAAGCCCTGTCCAAAGCTCAGTTTATTGGATTGACGAACTCACAAACATATGTACCATTATTGAGAGATGTTGCACTAAGTCTGACACAACGTTCATCTCAAAAGTTGCAGTCAATCAAACGACCTACGCCCCCGATAAATACGATGCCTTGTACAAAAAGGTCATAAATGTTGCACCCAAAATTTTTCCCTCTTGATTCAGGCTTATGTTTCATCATAAACATCACATTGCA